ATCCCCCCTTGCCTCCCCGCTCCCCCACACGAAGGGGCAGGAGGGGACCCGCGCGCGCACTTCAGTCGCCTCTTCCCTGCTCCGTGAGGAGAGGAGAGGAGTCCCCAGTCAGTCCCCTCCAGCTGCTGCACCAGCGGTGCCATCTGGAGCGATTGCTCCCCCCGCCAAATAAATGAATGGGATGAAATGAAATGAAATAAATTGGAATTAAATTAAATTAAATTAAATGAATGACCCCTCCCTCTCTCTCTCTCTCATCCATCCATCTAGTTTCATTCGGATTAAGGGACTCCCTTGCGGTTTGCAGGGGTGGGGGGCGGGGCCGGTCCCCGCCGCGAGCGGTCACACGGGGGCACTGCCCGCCCTCCCCCCCGGGGCTCGCGGGTGGGGCGCGACAAAGCTCCCCCCGGGCCGCACCAAAGAAGTCGCGGGCATGCGCGCCGATGCGCCTGCGCACTCCGGCGCGGGGGTGAGGTGGGGGGGGGTTCTGCTGTCTGCTTCCCTGGTGTGGGGCCAGCTGCTCTAGCACCCCCCGCCCCCCCAGCATCCTTGAGTGCGAGGCAGGGGGCATGAGCTTCCAGCCTCCTCCCTGGTGCCCTAGTCTGTACTCACAGGCACTACAGGGCCCACGTGGGCAGCCCAGGGATGGATGTTCCTGTGCCCTTCCTCGCCCCCCACTTTTTAAAGTTGTGTTCACTTGCTTTCTGTTTTCCAGTTGTGTTCATTTGCTTCCCTTCTTTCCTGCATGCCTTTTCTCATCATCCCTGCGACAGGACAGGGTGGAGGCAAGGCTGGGAGGCATATTTGGGGGGGCATCGGTGGCCTCCAGTCGAGGGTGATCTCTGCCACAGCTCTTGGATGGGGCTTGAGGCTGCTGCAGAGCCCAATCCTCAAGCCACAGCTCCCTTCGTGGACACCGCAAATCTTCCCGTGGGACGATGAAGCTGGGGCATCTCTCCTTTCCCTTCCTCCGCTCCCCCTTCTGTGCTTCAAGGGCAAGGCGCTTCATCTCAGAGGGGGCTGGCACTTGGCTGAGGTTGCGGTGCCACTGGATTCTGTTTAGGAGCCAGCTCTTGGGGTTGGCAAATGTTTTCTAGAGGTGCGACTTCACTGTGTCCATCTCGTCTGGCCACAGCGAGATCTCCGGCTGTAGCTAGCCTGAAAGCAGAGCACTTGTTTTGGGAGTCAAGAGTCAGGCATCTGCACGCAATATCCAGTCTAGCAAAGTTGATGCTTGAGGATCACCGGCTTGATGATGGTACCACTGGCTTTGGTACAAATACTGGCATTCGTGTGGCAATCTTTCCGTTTAAAGATACCAGTGTATGGACTGGAGGAGGGGGAGGAGTAGAGCAGGAGAAAAGGACTGGGGTGGTGTAGGGTAAGAGTGGGGGAAAAAGGTCTGGGGGGGTGTAGGGTATGAGCAAGAAGGAAAGGCCCGAGGGAAGCGGTGGAGGCAAGTTTGAAAGAGAGCAAGGAAAAAAGGGATGCTAAAGATCTATGGGCATGAGGAGAAAAGGCTCAGGCATGGGGGTGCTGGGTCTGAACAACATGAGAATGGCAAAAAAGATAAGGGTGTGGGGGGACAGCCTAAAGCAACATGCCTAGGGTCAAGGAAGAGGATCTGGGAGTAAGGAATCTAATCAAGAGGATTTAGGAGCAGACAAAGCTGAGGGCTCTGGAAAAGCAGCACTTGCTTTCTGTGCATCTCAAGGGGAAACTCCATGTCCAGGGTGTTACAGCTCCTGAAAAAAGCAGGTTAGGGAGACTTGGTGCTCAGAAACTTTTGAGTGACTTTTTCTCCCCACTCCCTCCAGAGCAAAGTGAATGGCTGGAGAGAGATGCAAGCATGTAGGAATTTGTTTTGAATTAATAGATTCAAGAGGCAACAGTGTTGCTAATCATCTCTTGAATGAGATATTGAGGAGGACCTACAACAGATTGTGCTTTGTAATTGTGTGGATGGAGAAGGCCAAGTTCAGAGTAGAATTCAAGCTGAAACCTTCGACACCCACTTCCCAGCAACAGCTTCCCTCTAGATTTCTCTTGATTTAGACTGGCAGGGTCACACTTCTTCACTGCCTCCTGTAATGTGTAGTTATTTACATTTATCCTGTCACTTTGAGCCCTTCTGATTTGGTAGCATTTTAAAACTCATTTTGCATAGGGATAAACAATGACACAAGCAGCAAGGCGGTGGGAAATTAAATCTACACTTGTTCATCCAAAAGTAACTTGCATCTCCCCTCTGCCTTTCACACGTCATCTCTGACCTTGACCTCAACTTGCATCTTGAGAAATAAGAAGAGAGGATAGTGGAGGAGGTGGGGGGAGGCAGGGACAGGAAATGACACCGTGTAAAAAGGTGTCATTTTAAGAAAGTATTTCTTAAACAAATACTTTAAGAATTTTAATTTAACTCGCACTGTGCCTTTTTAACTGATTTCATTTCAAATATCTGAGCCACGTCCAAGACCTGGCCCTGAATCTTCCTATCACTTTTTGATAGGGAAACCACCACATTTTCTTATCGCTCTTCTCTCTCACTTGCAGCTGCACGCACAGCCCAAACAAACTGGAGGGAAAGCTGGCTACAGTGGGAAAGTGATACAAATGTGTATATAAATAAGCTAAAATATTACAAGGTCCCATTCTTCGCATTATTTCTGAAAATGCAGAGCAGAGACATTCAACTTTGCTGTATCCAAACCACTGTTACTGGCCCGTTTTTCTTGGAAAATAACAATGTAATTTTCAGGGCAATGTAATTGATTATAGTGCCCTGCACATCCATCACCATTAAAGTGACATAAGAGACCTGTACTCAGAAATGTTTCTGCAGGTTTTCATTGCATTGCTGAAAGTCTGCGGTGTCTGTTTCTGTTTCCCCACACGCCTGGATTCACAAAGAAAACAGCACATGATTTGTTTCACACTGCAAAGGAGCAAATCCCTAAATGCACACATCTAACTAGGAAAATAGGATTAAAACCCAGACATTTTATACACCTCCCATTAGAAGAAGAAGAAAAAAAAATCAGGAACAGTTTCCTCCTGGATAATATGCAGAGGTGCTCCATTAAAAGCGTGGAAGTCTTGGTATTATTCTCCTGATTATACAGGGAAATTAGCCTTTGGCCTAGTCCTGATCCAAAGTTTATGGGAATCTTCCTATTGACCTCTACCAACTTTCATTCAACCCCTAGGTGCAGGTGGTTTATCTGGAGAAGCAATTACAGATGATACACAACTGGATGAAAAGCACACTTCCATTAAGTCTCCAACATGATCACTCCAGCCAAGACATTCAAGCTTTGCAGTCCAAAAGGATGCCATAAACATCCATGCATAGCTCCTTCCTAGCTTGCTTATTAGCTTTCCCTCTAGAAATATATCCTAGCTGGCAGTTGGCATGAGAAAGTAGCTTTTATTTAGCACGTACCATTCAATTGCTGAGTCACTGTTATTGAGCTTACTGACTCTAGTATACTCAACGAAATGCTCTCAGATATCAAGCATAACACCCACGGAAAGGGTACTTTTGTGAATCCATAAGCATATGTTCAACAGCCTACTGATTTGAGGCGAACACCAAAAGCAAATTGTTTTCTGGTCCTGATGCGACAAAAAGCCCTGCAGTGAAACAATCAAGGCTAAAACAGGACAAAGGCAACAATTCAATACAATTGTCCTACATAAGAACCACATGAAATTAGTAAATGTAACAAAATAATCAAGTCTTCTTATCAACTTTCTAAATTAGGCCCTGGCCTACCTATCTCGGAAGAAGGCTTGTGCAGTAGCTAAAATGGGGAGGTAATTCACTGCTTGGGGAAGCTGCAAGAAGCTTGCCTCTAGCAAAGGCAATTTGTAACAGGATTTTAAAATAATGTTTTAAAGGGATTTCCTTTTAATCGTATCCATGTCTGATACTCTTGCAGAGTCAGAAATGCCTTTTTGTATCAGCCTTTTATTATTCACACCTCAGATGTGCAGTGTAAATGTATCAGTACTTGCACCTTGT